TCATCCCCCGAAATGGCCCCTGACTAATGGCGCTGCATGCTCGCTCTGTCTCTCTCGCACCCCTGGGGCGCGCCGCGTCGGTGTGAGAGAGACAGAGCGTCGTTCGGAGCCGCCCCGCTGCTGGCTACCGCTCCTATGACTGTCGCGGCCGCCGACAAAGCTGCGTAAGTGTCGCCGCTGCCTTTGGCAAATACATTTCGTTGCGTTTCGCCACCCCGCCGCGTGCGGACGGACTGGCCGGGGCGAGGCGGCGTGCGGAAGGCCAACGGATTAAGATTTTTCACGTCGGCCTCCTCATCAGTCTCGTCCGCAGTGTCACGCCTCCCGGCCAGCTGTCCGTCCGCCGCCGCGTCAGCCAGCCTCCGAAGTAGCAGGCCGCGGGTTCGAATCCCCGCCGCGCCCGCGCCGCCGGCCTTCTTTCCCGACCGCGCTTTGCATTTCCGCGCCGTGTGCACACTGGCCAGAGGTATGGACCGTAGTTCGCGCAGGCTGGACAGGAAAAGGGGAGGGGGAGGGGCGGCGTCGCAGGCGTGAATATAGATGGACGCTCCAGATGGGCCGAGTACGGAGATGGACTGACAGAATGTCCGGGCCATGCTGACCAGCCCCCCCCCCCCTCCTCTCCACGTTGCGTAGTGGCCCTGCACGGGGACGTCCCCTCGCCGCCCGAGGGCCGAACCAAGGAGAGAGAGAGAGAGAGAGAGAGAGAGAGAGAGAGAGAGAGAAGGGGAGAGAGAGAGAGAAGGAGAGAGACCCGTCGCCGGAGGGCGCTAGCCGGTGTTAGACGACTGTTGACAGGCGTGGCGGGGCGGGGCGCGGGGGTGGGGGGCGAGTGAAGGACAAGAGGGGGAAGGGGTGGCCCGACGGACGGACGGGCCGGCCCGTCAAAACTCTTGGCGTGGACAAGACGTCCGACGTCCGGACGGCCGGACAGGACACACCCACACACACACAGCGCGCCTGCACACACACACACACACACACACACACACACACACACAGTGCCATAAAAGCACTTGCGCGTGGAAAAGTAGCAGGAGCTGCAGGGGCTCGATTGAACGGGTCGCGCACTCTTCTCGGAGACCAGCAGCAGACTCATTTCGAGAGTCGTTTTCGTCGCTCTGTCTCTCTCTCGCTCCTGCACGGGACGCCTCACGAGTGCGGGAGAGAGACAGCGACGCGAAAACGACGACTCCTAGCGTCAGTCTTGCACCGTAGGACCGGCTGAGATCACCCCGCACTACTTGACTGCGCTGACAAACACCTTCCACGACATCCTCTATCCCACGCGTTTGAACCCCTTACTCGTTTCTATCCGCTGCCCGGTCCGGTCGCTCACTTGAAGACCTATAACAGCAACAATAGAAACAACAGCAACAACAACAACATCAACATTATCATCAACAACATCAACAACATCAACATCATCATCAACGACAACAACAACAACAGCAGCAGCTTCTGTCCGCCCTCCATCTGCCCCCGCGTCACCTGGACGCGCGGTGGACGTGCGACGGCCGTCCGTCCGTCCGAAACGCTCCGCTTGGGTCGGCGCGTCGCGGCGCGTCGAGGCTCTAGCGCGCTGGCGTTGCGCGCCGCGGCGGCGTCGCGGAGTGCCCGTCGTGGGGTGGGGCGCTGAAGGGCAGGGCAGGGCAGGGCGCGGCGGGGGGAGGGGCGGCGCTGTCGGCAACGTGCGGGACGCGGGCGGGACCGGAGCGGCGCGGCCGTCAGTACGGCCAGGCGCGCTCCACGAGAAGGACCCTACGCGCCGCTCAACCCGCGCCGCCGTGCCGCGGTGCCGCGCCGCGCGTAAGTCATAAACCTCGAGCGAGGCATTGGCGTAGCTCGGAGCCCCGCGTCCACTGTGCTGCTGCTGCTGTGCATCCGCCCCGTCATGTCACCCGCCTGAGGTAAAGCGTTCGTGACGCTTGTCACGTCTCGTGTCACGCTGCCGTGTCACAGATCGCCGTCACGTCAGTCACGGGCTCGCAGTGCTGCAGCGGCCCCAGTGGCGTAGCGCGGCCTGCCTCCGCAGACTGACTGTCTGATTCGGAGCGTTCCGTCTCTCTCGCACCCACGCGGGACGCACGCGGGACGCACGAGTGCGAGAGAGACGGAGAGAGTCCGCCTGGAGGTGCCGAAGGGGGCGTGCCCGGCGTGCTCGGCGTCACAACAACGCGTCTGGCGCGCCACGCTACGCCACTGTAACTTCGGCGCGCCAAAGGACTTCCCGCGCGGCCGGCGGGCCGCGGCCGAGCGGCGCTCTGTCTCTCTCGCACTCGCGGGGCGCCCGGCTCGGGTGCGAGAGAGACGGAGCGGCGACAGCGCCGTTCGGACGCGGCCCGCCAGCGACGCCTTGCGGTGTTTATTCCGGGTTATTTGTTTCTTTTTGGGTGGTCTGTCGGCGAGGCCGTCACAGGCCGGGCCAATGAGTTGCACGGCGTGGGCGGGTCAGTCTCTCTCTCTCTCTCTCTCTCTCTCTCTCTCTCTCTCTCTCTCTCTCTCTCTCTCTCTCTCTCTCCACCCCCCCTCGTGTGTGTGTGTGAAAGGAAAGAGAGGGGGCCAGTAGTGGCCCAGCGAAGCGGTGTGGGCAGGAAAGCGAAAAATTGCATGTGAAAGGACGCACGGGGTGGTGGTAGTGTTTTCCAAACGAGGGGGTTGGCGCTGCACAGGCTTATATGCACCGGCGTGGCCCGGCGGGGCGTGGCGTGGCGTGGCGTGGCGGGCGCGGGGCGCGGTGTGGGTTATGGAAAAAGAGAATTGGATATGGCGGCCCCCGGACGGCCTGACTGCAGCAGGGCTGTTGGCTGCCGCGGACACCCCGGAGGGGTTTGATGCACTGCACCGCGCGTGCACCCCCCCCCCCCCCCCCCCCCCCCACGCCCCGCCCCCGTGTCGCGGAAATGAAAAGTATGTAATTAGGAGTAGAGTTTCATTGCGACTGTCGACAACAGTACATCATTTTGTCTGGCCGCGAGCGAGACCGGCGGGTGGAGGGGAAGGGGAGGGGGGAGGGGAGGGGAGGGGAGGGTGGCCTCGACTGTGTGGCACACCCAACAGCTGCGGTTCGCTGTTAATGTAACGTTTGATTGATTTATATGAACTCGCTTTTTTGATACGCGCCTGCAGCTCGGCAGCACGAACTGAGCCTTGCTCCCCGCTTCCACACGTCACCTTGCCCTGACCTGCCCTCACGAGGAAGCCTTTTTTCCCTGCCCCTGGGTTGTTATCATACTGGAAGTGAACTGTAGTATTTTCCGTTGCCGATGCGCTGACATAAAAAGTGTCGCGCTGTCGAAATTCGGAATTCCGAACTCGGCGCCGCTCGGAATCCGGTCGAAGCGGGCAGCCTGCTGTGCCCCGAGGCAATGCAATGCGGTCCGTCGCTTTATTCTATTCGGCTGCAGCGAGGCTGGTTCCGGGGTACGTCGCACTGTCTCTCTCGCACTCACGGCGCGCTCAGTGCGGGTGCGAGAGAGACAGAGCGACGAAAACGGCTCTGGAATCAGTCTGCAGGTGCGCGTCGCCCCACCCGCGTATATACAGTGTCGTGCGCGCGACATCACTGTCGATGTCAACTGATTTCAAACGCGTCAGTTATTTTGCTTTTGAAACGATGCCAGCAGCGCAGTGGAATGACTGCCCGGGGCACTTATCGGAGCGGCGTTTGTGCTTGCGCCGCTCTTTTCGTCGCTCTGTCTCTCTCGCACTCGTGGGGCGCCCCGTGTGGGTGCGAGAGAGACAGAGCGACGAATCAGTCGGCTGGGCGAACCTTTGTGGAGCACTGCGAGCGCCAGAGGGCCAGTCCGTAAAAACTAGAGACGGGCTGCAGGGGCACTGGACTCTGGTGACGGGCCGCGCCGTGACATGCCTCATAAGTCGGGGTCTAAATGTCAGCGCGGCGTGGCGGGGCGTCGCGGCACTGGAAGGAGGATGTCCGCGCGCCCCCACCCCCGCCGCGCCCCGCCACGCCCCGCCTCGGAATCGCCAAAGTTGACATTTCATTGGGCGCACCTGTTAGGAGGCTGCCGCGGCGGCGCGACGCGGGCAGGCGTCGCGAGATGGCGCCAGAGGCCGGCGCCGCCGAGGGCGCCGAGAGCGCCGCCGAGATGACCGGAGGAGGGAGTGCGAGCGAGAGAGCGCGACGGGGGTGGCGCGAGAGAGACGCGGCGCGGTGCGACGGCGACGGACGAGACGGGGACGGCCGCGGCGCGACGGAGACCGACGCCACAAGTGAGCGAGAAGCGAGGGGCGTCGCGGCGAGTGCGAGAGAGAGGGCGGCGGCGGCGGCAGAGGGAAGGCCCTGCCGAGAGGGACGGAAGACCCTGAGAGGGAAAGACGCCGGCGAGCGAGACGCAGCGTCGCGGCGCGTGCGAGAGAGACGCCCGATAAATCCACGTGGTTGCGAACCTTGTGCGCAGGATCGCCTTCCCCCTCCCGGCCTCGGCCGCCTCGGCGAGCGGAGCCGAGCGGGCCGCGGTGCCCCCACCACGCCCCAGCCGGCCGCCGACTGCCTCCGACTCTCCGGCGCGGCGCGGGCGCGGACGCGCTTGCCAAAATCTGGCCGAATTCCGAGGCGAGCAGACCGCCGCCCTGCCGCCGCCCCTCCGCGCTCCGCGCTCGGCCACGGCATCGCCGCGGCACCGCGCAGAGGTTGGCAGCAGCCCGCCCGGCCGCCAGCCCGCCAGGCCGAGGGGACGAAGGGAAGCACCGAGCAGCGTCTCGCCGACGACGCGACGCGTCGCTCCCACCGCCACCGCCCGGCGTTCGGGTTCGGGCCGCCCCGACGCTCCGCCGCGCCGGCTTCGGGATCCCGCCGCCACGCCGCGCCGCTCGCTGCGCCAGGCTGCGCGCAGCGCGCCGCAAGGGCCGGGCCGCCGGAGCCTCGACGGACACCCCGCCCGGAGAACGGAGCCGGACCGGAGCGAGGCCGGAGCGTAGCCGCCAGACCGCGCACCGCGCCGCACCGCGCCGCACCGCGCACCACCAGTCGCGTTGCGACGAGAGCCGCCACCGGAGCGGAGACTCGTAGACCACAGCCTGCCGCGCCGTGCTGCGCAGTGCTGCGCCGCGCTCGGCCGGCGATCTAGTTTCGGACATGCGGCGGAAAGCAATCCCCGTCGCCGCGAGGTCTCAACAAGCAAGAGGTAGCTGATTTTTACCAGTCGTTACCTCCGCAAAGTGATTCCAGTGTTTGAAAAAGTGTCGTCCTGTGAGAGTGTGTGCGAGGCGGTGATCTTCCCAAGAGATCGCGTTTTTCACGGGTTTCTCTCGATTTTGTGTTGTGATTTCTCAAGACGATCCCGGATTATTTTGTGTTCATCGTTCTTCGCTTGTGATTATTTTTCTCGCGTTTCTACGCGTTTTCATTTTACCGTGTGCTGTGATCTGACGGACCCGCAAGGGGCCTAAGTTTGTGCTGTGTTGTGAAAGTTCTTCATCGGATCGACGCACCCCGGATTTTATCTTGTGTTCCGCCATTATTTTTTGGTTTCGTCGTTCGATTTTGATCGTCGCACCAGTCTCTTGAAGATCTCCGCCCTGGAACCACTTCCGCTTAGGATAGTGTGTAGTGCGCCCTAGCCGGCGAAAAGTGTGTAGTGATGTGCCATTGTGCAAGTGTTTGGTGAAGCCATTCACCCAGTGAAATGTGTGCCCAGTGTCAAGATAGTGATGGTTACCCCATTGGAGGGACTTAGTGTTGTGCCCCTAGTCCCACTCCCCCGCATCAAGTCTCCTGCGACGAAGACATTCCCCATCGGCGTGGTTTGATTTTACTTATTTTTATTTTCTTTCCTTTCTTCGGGAAATTTTCGTGGAGCACCTGTTCAGTGTGTGGAGTGACTGTCTCGGGGAGTCCCGTGAGCCCTTCACCAGCGCAGAGCGCGTAGTGTCCGTCGAACTTCCCTTGTCAGACTTACACTGTGCGATTGTCTGTGACAGCGGTCATTTGTGTGTCTCTTGTAACAATGCAGACACGGCTCTTGAAAGCCACAAATCGCCCTTGTCGCTCTGTGGCTTGTCACCAAATTAGCCCGGAATCGCGTCAGCGGAAAGCGTTCCCACTTCCATTTGTAACCTGCGGCTTTTGCAAATCAAATTCTCCTTTGCTTTGAAACTTGGAGTGAGCTCTGCTGGACGTCGGGCGAATTTAAATGCTGCTGTCAAAATGTAACGTGACAAGTTCGCCGCAGATGTTAGCCACCGCGCTCTTCGTCGCGATGAAGGGGCCCAAGTGCTCGCAGCTCGGCGGTGCGGCTCGGAACTGCACTGCAGACAACACCGACGTGCTTGCCGAAATACCTCCTAAAATCCAAGAGAACGCCGACTGCACTTTGACTCACGAGATCGCAGCGACGTTCCGCACTTCAGTCACTATCAACACTTGTTGTTCCGGGTGCTCCACGATCCGTCTTTGTGTTTGGTTTTTCCGTTTTTATTTTTATTTTCGGCACTGGGACTATGGTTTGCGATTTTGTCGGGAAAGGGGCGAGTGTAACTTGCATGGAAACCACGGGTTGGCACTGCCAAATGAATGGCAGAGAGACCTGAGACCTGGTTTGACTTTGCTCAGGCGTAGAAATTCGGACACGGCATGAGTTTGTTGTTCCACACTCTTTTCTTTATCTTTTCACGGGGAAATCCTTCGTCGGGGTCGCGAGCTTCGCCTGCTAGTGTGACTCTGCCTCCCAAGATGTGAAGTCTAAGTCGAGCCGCGCGACCCACCGCACAGTGGGCAGGAAGACCGACGCCGGCAGCCAAAACTCTGCCCGCGTTTTGAACTCTCGAGTCGCTAATCACCACTCAAACCGAACTTGTGACCCCACCAATGGATTCCTCGTTCAGAGAGCAAGCTAGTGGTGGGGTCAAACGTTCGGTTCGAGTCCCGTTTAGCGACTCTGACGCTCAAAACGCGTCCGGGATTTTGACCGCCTGCACCGGTCTCCTGGCAAATCCACCGTGCAACGCAGTGAGTCCGTGTTTGTGCAAGTGTCACGTCTGACTCGGCTTTTCTTGGGTGACTACAGACCGGCGGCCATGCTGGCCATTGCCGCCCCTTCCAGCACGCCTTACCGCTATTGATATACCATTTAGAAGCGGGCGTCGGGGGCGCCTGGCCTGGCTGGGCCCTTCGCCCCAGCGCGGCACTGCCAGGGCACAGCCAGGGCACAGCCAGGGCACAGCCAGGGCACAGCCAGGGCACAGCGCGGCAGAGTAGCGGCGCTGGGTCCGTGGCGCCTCGCCGGCCGCGCCGCGAGGTTCGCCACCGCGCCGCTGGATGGCGCCACAGTCCGGTCGAAGCTCGGCGCGGGCGACGCGGCCGCCCCGCCGTCCGTTCGAAGCAGCGCTCTGCAGGCCCCACTGCGGACACCTTCTGAAAAGTCGGGTTTTTGAGACGCTGTCCTTCTCATTGTACCGTGCCAAGGCGCCTGAAACGGCGGACTTCGTTGGGCCCGTCGACGCGGAGGTCGGTGGCACACTGATTTCGAAAGTCTTCTGTCCCTCTCGCACTCATGGGGCGCCCCGTGTAGGTGCGAGCGAGACAGAGCGATCAGTCACCCGGCGGGTCGTCCTTGGTAGTTGCGCCGCTCTATGAAAGCACCCATCTCGCAAGTGGAGCTTGTTGTTGTGGCAGGTGGACAGATGGGCACAGGTGTATTTCGAGGATGCACCCCGACAGTGTGCTGGCTGGCGCTAGGCTGGCGTGGCCGCCGCATTGTCGTCGCGGTGTTCATGTCGACCTGTCGGCCCCCTGACTGACGGCTGAGCCCGGCCGGCGCCCAGATAGGCCTGCGCCCATTTGGCCCAGTGAATGTAACAACTTTTTTGCGTGATGCCGTAACGGAGTTGCTACTACCGGTGGGCTGGCTCCGAACGCCACCCTGCCTCTCTCGCACTTTTCCGGGGCGCCCCGTGAGTGCGAGAGAGACTGCGCGACGAGAGCTGTCCGGCGATCGTAGATACACTGCCGTGCGTGTCCACTCGCTGTCACGTCCGCGTCGCGGTGCGATGTGTGATGTACACGCCGATTGCATCATCGGCAGTGCACTGTATTTTTCGTATATCGGGCATCGCACCGCTAGTTTACGTCTCGCCAGTGTAGTAGATTGAGCCGCCGATGCCGGACGGCCGTTCGTTTGTCGCGTTCCGAAAACGTGCGCGGCTTCGCGAGTGACGAGTGCCGCGGCACTGTAAGTGCCCAGTATGCTAATGAGGGTATTTGCCGACCGGCCGGGCAAGTCACCTCAACCCTAGCGTCCTAGACGTGCAGGAGAACCGCAGGGCTGCCCCAAGTTTGGCATTTAGAGACGAATCGGCTCCTTGCCCTGACATAGGCGGTTCAAGACGGCCGACCAGAACACACATCCTGCGATTCTCTGACACGTCCAGGACCCTGACCTCACCTTAGCCTATCATGTTCACGTTTTGTTCCAACTGTCGGCGGGAAAGGCTCAGTTTGGTGGCGAAAGCCGCGGCCGGCGCACAGTGGGCCAGAAGACCGGTGGAGGCAGCCAAAACTCTAGACGCGTTTTGAGCTGCAGAGTCGCTGAATGGGACTCGAACCGAACGTGTGACTCCACCAATGGACTGCTCTCCGAACGAGGAATCCATTGGTGGGGTCACACGTTCGGTTCGAGTCCCGTTTAGCGACTCTGGAGCTCAAAACGCGACCGGGGTTTCGGCCGCCTCCGCCGGCCTTCCGGCCCACTGTGCGGCGCCCCTTGGCACGGCGCTGTCATCGCCGAGGCCGCTGAGCCGAGCCAGTGCAGGGGCCTAGGCCTCGGGCCTCGCCATGCCTCGCCTCGACGAGTCGAGGGCCGCGGGGCTTGATGAGCAGGCGTCGTACGCCGACTAAAAATACACGTTTTGTAGTTAATTCTGCGCGGGAGGCGAAGCTATAAAACTTATAGACAGACAGATGCGCGGCCTGGCAGATATATGGACGGGTAGATAGACACACGAGGCTAAGTTTAGTGTTGATACACACCGCGGGGCGGACCGGCGGGGACCGGCGGACGGTGCAGGCTCCGCGTCTGCGACTAATTTCCCGCCGGTGACGAAGTTGGACGTGAGTCTGGCTGCGTCTGTCTGCCCCTTGCGCGTCGCGGCGCGTGGCATAACTCTTGTCGCGTCACGCGGCGCGCAGTGGGCCCTGAAGACCGGCATGGCGCAGGCGGACAAAGCTCCAGACGCGTTTTGAGCTCCAGAGTCGCTAACAGGCCTCGAACCGAACGTGTGACCCCACCAATGGATTCCTCGTTCGGAGAGCTATCCATTGGTGGGGTCACACGTTCGGTTTGAGTCCAATTTGGCGACTCCGACAGTGGAGGTCAGGTTGCCACGGACGAGCTGTACGCCGCAAGAGCTCTCGCATTGTGCCTCCCCCTCCCTGCCCTCCCCCATATTTATAGCGCGTTTGCCGAAACATGCGGGCAGTGCGTTTTGGGTCTGTAAATATAGAATCCGTTCCTCATCGCGAAGACAGGCGCTCACCGGGTGAGTAGCGGTGCGCAGGTGTGGCAGTGTCGCGTCGCGGCGCGTCGCCGCCTGACAACATCCCTCGTCGTCGAGTCCCTCGGACGCCTCGCGTCGCCTCGCGTCGCCCCGCGATGGCACGGATGTATTTTGGGGGTTTCGTCTTTCGTTATTTCGACAAGCCCGGCTGCGCACAGTGAGCCAGAAGACCGTAGCAGGAGGCCAAAATCCCGCGGACGCGTTTCGAGCTCCAGAGTCGCTGAATGGGACTCGAACCGAACGTGTAACCCCACCAATAGGTCGCTCTCCGAACGAGGAATCAATTGTGGGGCCACACGTTCGGTTCGTGTCCTCTTTAGCGACTCTGGGGCTCAAAACGAGTCTGGAGTTTTGGCCGGCGGCTCCGGTCTTCTGGCCTACTCGCGGATTGCTGGCTACGCCGGCTACTGTCGCACACACGCGATTAGACTCGTAAATTTCTCATCCTCGTCACTCGAGCCGGGCGTCACCCGATGCACGGGCTCCGCTGGCTCCGCTAAGAGGATCGGCGGCGGCCTCCTCTTTTTTACGCCCGGGGATTTAACTGAAACGGAACACCCCGTCGCGTCACCGCGGCGCACCGCCGCCTCCGTCAAGGCCTGCCATTTTGTCAGTGGTCGGCGTCGCACAG